GTTGATGTTGTTATTGTTGTTTGTATTAAGAACAAAACATACTTTATGACAGCCGAATATAGGTACAATAAATTTTTGAAGACAAGGCTGATGAAAAGAAGATAGGCCGACCCTGGCTGCTGGCTGACCCATAGCATAAGCATAAGACATACCTGCGCGGCGGGACGGGGATGCGCGAGAACCATAAAAAACTGTGTTTCTTTCCGAGTCATTTTATACCTTAATCTCTGTAATTTTGTAGAAGACTTAAAGAGGGTACCTTCGACTCCCCGAAAAAATTGTAACTATTTTACAAGATTTTCAAATCTCTTCTTACACCGATAATTCTTCATAGCTTTCGAAGTTCAATGAATGATTCGTGGTGATGTTTCAACCCCTGTAATTTATAAAAAGAGTAAAATAGAGTAGAACTTGTTCACGACAGTCAGCAAACATCTCTAATTCTCAAAAAATGCCTGTATTATGCTTAATCATTTTTTTAAAGAAAGTACCTATTGAAACCGGCCACAGGGATGCAGCGCATGAACTGTCTCAAAAACTGCGTTTTCTTCGCGCCTTTGGTATGTTTCAACCCCTACTTCGAAATGTGGTTTAAATATTCTCAGGGCAGTTACTATGTACCTTCGACTCTCTGACAATGCCTGTATTCTTTTAACATCCCTTGACAGTTTTTTTAAAAGTCTCCTTGCGTCAGTAATTCTGTAATGATTTTTAAATTCGAAGAACATTCAGTTTTATCCCCGTCATTCAAGAATTTTTCTCTTATTTTTTTTAAGTACCCCAAAAAATCACAACCATATGAACTAGAGATGACAGGTATCAAAGCAGCCGTTACTCTAAAAAATTGATTTAGAATTATGTAGCATCAGCTGAATTTAGCGGAAAAATGCCTATTTTAAGGAATACAGGATGATAATTCTGATTTTAGCAGGCTGTAGCAATCTTAAAAATGAATTACAGTAAAAAATACCCTTGACTTATGTTAATGTGAACCCTTAGCAGTAGGACTATAAGACTTTTTATGATAAAAAATGTTCTTGGGAAAATGGGGTTTTTGCCACTAAAAAACCACTGCGCCCTGTAGTAATGAAGTACTTAAATTTTGTAATGGTTGCCTAAGGTGACGCATTTTTTAACCTTTGTTTTTCAAATTTACAATAAAAGAAATCATTTTTATCAATTCAGCTATCTTCTTACCTTAGAGAGATGGTTCCTTTTTAGTGGGTTGCCCTAGGTAAACTATACCACCAGGGTCATCGTTTCATAATGGCCTTATCAGTTTGGATTGAGAGATCCTAGTACAATTTGAAGTTAATTTTTTCAAGTATGGTCTCCAGTGAATACTCATAATGCGGACTAGAGTCTGAATGAAACTAGCGGTTGAGAGCATTATTATTATACTTTTAAGCTGTCAGAACCTCTTCAATGTATAGGGACGAAACTTCTTTGACTCTGGATAATAAAATTGCATTAAAATGGGCTGAAGTAGGCTAAGTTGAAGAGAGGTAGGCTTCTTCTAACCCAGATTTCATTGCTCGTGTAAACGCAACTGGGCTTAAAACCTTGGTTTGAGAATCTTCGGTTTTGTCTGTTGCATGAATGAAGCCAATCGCTCTCAGAGAACCTAGATTACTCGGAATTTTCAATATGATTTCTGTAGAAAATATTTATGAACTACATCTTCTCTGTTTTAATCAGACTCTTATGAATGGAGCCACTATAACCAGATATCCTTTGCTGTTGCCAATAACCGCTTATCCAGTAAAGCAAAGCACTGGGGTTATGACGTTCCAATGCCTGTAAATTTAGTGCTAGTCCTTGGTGTTACCTCTCATGTGAAAAATGTTACCAACAATGGAGAGAAGTGCAATTTTGAATACAAAGCTGAATTTCAGGTAAGAAGTTAGACTAGTAATTGGACTACATTTAGCAATTAGGAACTATAAATTCCGGCCCGGTTTAAAAACAACGTATGTGCCATTACTTTCCCCATGCACAAAAGTGTTTTATCAGATGAGCCAGAATTTATAGCTCCAAATAGCAAAATGCAGTACATTTGACATTTATTTCGTAAGGCTTCATATTTGGTCAACAAAATCAATGGATTTTAACGGAATATTTTCAGATTTTTTCGACCGGATCCAGGGAAAGAGCTCAAAAATAAACTAATGGGAATATCCTGTGTATTTCTTTTCAGTTTTCACCCATCAACTTATGTTTTAATTAGACTCTGCTAGGATTAGTTTACAAACATGCACAAATCAATAACTTTAAACACTTTCAAATAATCCTTGACTCATCTCTTGGGTTCGGAAGTAGAAATAGGCAATGAGCACCCATAAAGGATTCCTCGAGGAAATAGTGCAAGAATTTTGCTACAAAGGCTGTCCAAAAAGTACTGGGACTGGTTCCATAACTCAAAAATTAAGATAGCTAGCGGCTTGATCTTGGTTTTATTTGAAAGATCAACTCAATTTCTATCGATTGAGACCAAAATCAAAACTTTCAGTAAAATATTTCAAAAGTTACAACACTGTTTTTTAAAAAAATATCTGGACCCCCTACCGTTTTTGGTGACCATTTTCTCTTGCCGAGAACATTCTCTAATTTAATGATCAGTGCATGGTTCTTTTGCAACTAATCATGGCAAAAGCTAATTGATTTGGCAACACTGTCAAGTCGTCGTCGTCCGACTACGGGTGTAAAGGTTCTAAGTCCATGGAGAAAGAATGAACCGTCGTACGGTGGATCGAGTCAATGGTACAAGTTGGTCATGGGCGATTCGGGCAAATCGCATTTTTAAGGGACAAAAGTGTTCCTTAAGAGTTATATTTTAAGGATCTGACATTGATTTGGAACGAAACATGTTCATTTTTGTGACAGAAGGCATCAAAGAGAGACTCTGCATAACTTCTCATTTTAGCGAAAAATCGTCCGAGTCTCTTTATTCCATTTAACTTGCTTCTATTTAAATTAATGCTAGTTTCATTGATTGATTTTAATTCTTCAGAGTCTGGAAAACACATTGCACTGGTAATTTTTTGTATTCGGCCCATTTTTTCAACATCATGTTTGCGCTATTGTGCTCATATCAAAAAGCAAAAAAAAAGTTTAGGTATACTTTTAACAACCCATCCGCCGGAAAACATTGTTTAAGCATGTTCGTAGGAGTCCTGAGAGTAACATTCCGCAATATTTGGGTGCCACTTTGCGCCACTTTGGCTGTGACGTCCTTTTTTCTGTTGCATTCCGAGATTGCGCGCGAGCTTTATCTCGAAAATCAAGCAACCAGTGAACTCTCGTAACTGCTAAATGACCCAGGTAGGTATGATTCCTGTTCATCGGAAACTGAAAAACAAGTTTTACCATCAAAACGTGCTCTTTGGCCCGTTTTGCATATTTTCATTATTTCCTTAACTACATATCTATAGGAGAACTTAAAAAAAAAAATCTGGCAAATTTTTACTCAAACATCCTTCTATATCCCTTAGGAAGCTTTTTTGGGACGTATCAGTAGATGTTCGCCAGGTGATGAAGGTTGAGAAATATATCGTGCACGACGTCATGTCCAGGCAGTTATGCTGGTATGGACATGTGCAAAGAATGTTGGAGCAGAGGTTGCCCAAACAAGTTTTGGATTGGGTACCACCTGGGAAGAGGCGACGGGGACGTCCCGTAAAGGGTTGGCGGCAGGGCGTTGACGAAGAGATGTTGCGGTGTCAGTTGCCCGAGAACCTCTGGGAAGACAGGCATATGTGGCGTTTGGGTGTCGTAGAACGCCAGAGTGCGTTGTAAAGCGAATATATATATATATATATATATATATATATATATATATATATATATATATATATATATCTTGAGGAAATTTTTTAGCAGGTAACCCCCCCCCCCCCCACTTGCCTGGCCCCTGACTATGATGCCATTTTATCTGTTGGCCTCCGCGATCGTGTGTGACCGGTCACCGGTAAACTCTGATAACTGATGCTTCTCTCAAATAGATACAAATTTTTCAATTTTTCACCTATTTCGATGTAAACAAAGTGCAGTCAGTGCAAAACTAATTACACTGCGAGTACGTATCAACGTTATAAGTCCAGGAAATTTTGGAATTTTTGCGGTTTTTTGCGTTGCTTGTTTTTTAAGTTTGATGCGATTTGAGAGCGGAAGATGAGGATGAGATTGATGAGGAACTGAATATGAAGAAGGAGAATAAGGAGAAGCAGATGACTGATATGTAACATTTTTTTTTGGCCATCTAGTGTTTTTCCTACTCTAAGTCCCTGCTTCGTCCTCTAAATTTAAATATGAATTTAAAGTAAATGTGATCTTGAATATTTTCAAAGAATTCATAAATGTATTTCATTTGTCTTTTCATCGATCCTTATGCATAAGAATGATATTCTTATGACAAAGTTTCGAAATTAACTTTGCTGTGAAGGGAATGATATATCTGATGCAGCAGCTAATATCTGGGTAGGTATTTTTGTGTATTTGTGATACTTATCTGTAAGTTTACATAATTTATCCTCTTCCATCATGAAAAATCAAAAACTCCGTCCTACGAAGTAAAACACGGACGCCTAAACTTTGCACCTGTACAGTTTTTTCGACAAAATACACAAAAGTGGGTCTTCAGGTACGTTGTTCACCAAAAATAACATCAAAAATGAATTCTACGCGAAAAATTAAGTGAGGAAAGAGGTATGTAATCGATCAAATGACCAGGAATATTCGTTATCCTCGTAAAATTAGAAGCGCATCGCTCCATGACCGACCACTCCCATTGCCTCGATCCACCGTGCGCCAGTCAGTCACCCCAAGAAAAAGCCAGCAGAAAATCGCGGTTCCACTCAAAGAATCGTCCCGGTACACACCTTTCATATCATTCAGCGTATCCTTAGCTGATAAACCACGTCGAACACAATATCGGATCACAGAATATTGTTCTTTTTCCACTGCTTTATCTCTTTTTATGATGGTATCAAAAATTTCGAACAAAGAAACAAAATCACTCACTGTCTGCAGCATAGACTACGCATGCACTGTGAACTGTCAACAACTGCCGAAAACCCAGGTTTTCTTGGGATGGCTGACCGACGGTTCATTCTTCCCCCATGGACTTTGAACCTTTATACCCGTAGTCGGACGACGACGACTTCATAGTGTTGCCAAATCAATTAGCTTTTGCCATGATTAGTTGCAAAAGAACCGCGCACTGATCATTAATTTAGAGAGTGTTCTCGGCGAGAAACTATAGTCACTAAAAACGGTAGAGGTCCAAATATACTTTTTACAAACAGTGTTGTAACTTTTGAAATATTCGACCAAAAGTTTTGATTTTGGTCTTAATCGATAGATATTGAGTTGATCTTTCAAATAAGACCAGGATCAAGTCTTTAGCTATCTTAATTTTTAAGTTATGGAACCTGTCAAAGTTTTTGGACAATCTGTTGGTTGCAGAGTAGGTCAGGGGGAGGATGTTTTTGGACAAGCTTTTTGTCGCTCAGCGGGTTAGGAGAAGGAAGATTCTGGACAAATTGTTCGTCGCACAGTGGGTCAGGGTACAAGATCTGTTGTTGAACAAAATCTCACCATTTAACTGTCAAAAATGACCGTAAGAAATTCAAAACAAAGTAAATTCCAAGACATCAGTTCCCACTTCGAGAAATACACTTTCCTTCCTGCGGTTGATGCGCGGGTCTCTGAAAGAAAAAAGAAACGACTGAAAAGACGCGCGCGTCCCAGGGAGGGGGGGTTTGCCCGTAACACTTTTTTATCATAAAATGTACATTTGAAACATTGCTGTCATTTTTTTTAACAATATAATTGTTTAATTAACAATATGATTGTTTAATTAACAATCCATCTTTTCCGTGTGGAAATCGCAAAATGAGAAAAATGTAGGAAAATTTTAGTCTTATGTTCAACCCTACAGTATAATACTACAATGCCATAATGAAGGGATGAAATTCCTGCATGTGTCAGGGATGTGCGATTTCGTTCTCCTTCCCTTAAAAAATTTCACGAGAAACACTGTGGTGCCACTGGTTTTCTCTAAAATCAATTCCCAAGTTCAGAGAAAGCTTTTTAAGTTCAAGCCGTAGTAGAGGGGATATCAACGTTAGGCATATACCTCTATACATAGTCAAACTCTCCATGTAACGAGAGAGATCAAAATACATTAGAAGAGATGCCGTGGTTTCAGTCTTGAATTGGTAGAAGTGGTAGACCCCCAAAATTTTTGGTTCAACAAAAAATCATTTCCAAGGACCTAGGAACATCCTCCAAGCTTCAGTTTTTTGGATGCAGCCTTACAAAAATCTATCAGCTGTGCCGTGAGTTTTAACATACCTGTGTATCAATAATGCCTTCTATAATAATATTAATGGTTTGGTTTTGTTTCAGGGTTTATTCGTGTTTGTTGATAAGACTGATTTTAAAGACAATGTGATTATCTCTTGGAGTTTTTAGACATTTGTAGTGAATGTGATCTTAGTTTAAGTGCTCATTTTTCCTCTTGATACTTGAATCTTCTCGGGCATTTTATACATAAAAGTGTAAGACATTTTTACCTACAAATCTATATTCTTCACTCAGAATAAAACTTTTAGTACTTTTAGTTTTCTTTCTCATTTAATTATGGGTATGCAGCATTTGTTTGTTCCCCTCGTTTTTCTAGAGGTACTCAAAAGACTTACAAAGATCCCGCACACCCCATGAGCAAGTGCACCATGATCGATTTTTAATTTTTTATTGCATTCAACTCCTCTCAAGATGCACAAAATCATCATTGCGCCAACTTTCTACGATGCACAATCTCGCCCGGACAGTTTCAATTATTCGGCGATTAATAGTCGAAAGGAGAACACTATACATGCATGGGTGTGCATTCGAGAACAGGCCTGCTGTAAATAAGGAAAACGTAGCGTGTCTCTGTCTTCTTATTTGTTCCTATCTACTCCTGTCGACTCAGGGGCTACCTCCCTCCTGCTCTTGTTTGTTTGACGTTTACTGTTTTACTCCGACTTTCCTCTTCTTATGCTCCTCACTAATCTGATTTGGATGGTCAAGCAAAAAGGTGTGTAGAATCTGAGATAAGACTGCCGCTAGGTGCTAGAGTTCCCCTTATTTCCTAGTTGGCACGCAGCCATCCGTTCTCTCGAGTGCTGAAATGAGGAATCTTTCTGGCTCTTTATCGCCGAATAATTGAAGCATTCCCGGCGTATCGTGCAAAAACCGTGCATTGTAGAAATTTGGCGCAATGATGACTTAATATCAGCATCTTGAGAGGAATTGAATGCAATAAAAAAATTAATAAAAATCGATCATGGTGCACTCCCCCATGAGGAGTGTGCGGGGTCCAAAAAGGTATCCCCAGGACATATCAATTAAACCCCTTTTTAAATATTCTCATGGGCTGGAATATTTGAAATGTTTTACAGAAAAATAATTATGAATACTTGAACCAGTGAGAATGAAATAAGGGAAAACTGGGAAAAATGAAAATGTCCAATCAAGAGGCAAAATATTCCACAGTAGGTTGAGCAGTTAGTCTTTTTGGTGCGAAAGGACAGTTACTTTGGGATACTGTAAAGGCCTGAGTCAACACAGATGCGCCATCTCCAATGGCTTGGATAAAAAAATTGGGCACCTTTAAAGAAACTTGGGCATTTGAAGTTTCCAACTTGGTGTGTTTCCATCCTCACAGATTTATTGAAGGTTTCACCTCTAATGAATAGTTTCCATTGTGTCAAAAATTTCTAAAATAACTCGATTTGAGTAAGAAAGAAAAACAAATCAAATACTGATACTGGATATTATTGGATAAATAATACAATAATTCATGATGGGAGTACATATCATAGGTTAGGAGTAGGAGAAAAAGTAAAAAAAGTGATAAATGAAGACAAATTGAAAGAAGTGAATACTTGGAATTAATTCCAGACTGACCAAAGAAGTATTATACGAATTAAAGTTTGTGAAATATTTGCAAAGAACTTCGTTAAATTTTCACCAGACTAACTCCAAGTTTTTCCATGAAAATAACACTCTGAAACATGAGTGCTCATTGCAAAATTTGTTGAAAATATAAAAGCCCGGAATTAAAGATTTGAAAACTTACTAATAGATTCATGTTGCTATGTAGAAAAAGCCACTTTCAAAAATTTTGCTGACACCAGGTTGCAATCAATAATTACTATTCCAATCCTCTGTCTCAGCTTGAGTTACTCAAAAGTAGAAACAAGAACACATCTTGAAAATTGAGAACTGAGCACTTAAAATATTTGATAGAGGTGAAAATTGCCTTACTTGTCATAACAATCATTATTGATTTTTTTTTTCTTTCTTTCCTCAAGGAATTCCCATCCTACATGGTACCAACAATCTGTAGATATTTACCATTCTCTAAGAAATTCGAAGAGTTAATTGAACAAATACATGCTAAAAGGAACTATGTTGCCCATAAACCTTAGAAGCAAATGTACTTCTGACATGATTACATCCAATTATAACTCATAGATATTCAATTATTAAACTTTCTTTTGCGCATGCACATCCTGTGAAACCATGAAAAGACGAATTTTTAAAATAGGAAGACAATACTGAGGGTCAGTTCAGGTATGACTTGCACTGAGCAGATGACATAGGCCTTACTTGCTGAAATTAAATTTTACTAAAGAGAAACATAATTTTTCTCAGATACTCTCTAAAACAGCGTGAGAGAAGTTTAAAATTAAACATTACTGGCAAAAATTTTGACGATGAATAACTCAAGGTACAAGGGTCATCCAAAAAGGGAGTTATTATACTTAATATCTTGTAAATTAAAAAAGATTAAAATAAAATTGACTCTTTCAGCTTAAGAGCACGAGTTTCACGAATTTGAAAATTGGCTATAGGGTTCATGAGGAGTCTCGACTGTACTGAGAACATCTTCTAAAGCATTAGATGCCATTTGCTTTTGGCATTTCATCCTTGTAATAAATAAAAATTCCAAGATAAATTAAGTGCAACTAAAAATCTTAAACGTTTAGCTCCAATTTGTAAAAGAATTAATTATTAAGAGTTAATTATTTTGCTGTGTGAGTTATGGGTTGCGCTCAAAACAAAAATCAATTTATTAAAATTTCCAAAATATGTTAGCACCTCGTGAGAACAATGGTAACCTCACAGACAGAAATGTGAAAAATACACCAAAGTGAGTTTTTTAAAATCACCATGTGATTTGATTAAAATCAAGAGGATCAGTTCATCATTACCTTTTCAGAGATAGTAAAAACGGAATGACACGTTTTTCTCGGGATGCATTTAACTGATCAAGAAATCAAATTAAGTCAATTAAAATATGATTAAAAATCGTGTACAATCAAACCAAGCTGCAGAGAAAAGAGTGCAGAATAGACAAAATCAGAGCCAATTAAAATAAAATTTACAACACTTTTAATACGGCGGAACAAAGAAGCTAATTGATTTTTCTACTGAATATCCTTTAACATCAGGTAAGTCTGACAATTTTGTGGGGACTGTATAGACGAAATTACCGCTAAAAAGTAAAAGCAACACTCAGAAAATTCAATCTTTACAACTCCAGATAGAACTGGTTAAGATTAAAGGATAAATATTCTTCAAAAAGATTTCCTTAAGTAATAAGATGATACATCTTAGAAGCAGATATTAGGGATACCAAAAAGCTCTTTTCCAAGAGCAACTATTGCAATTCAAAACTAGTCAGGGGGCTACACATTACTCTAACTTAAATTTCTTCGAAAAACAAGAACATTGTTATAGTTTAATTATCTCTGCAAGAAGACATGTATTCTGGCATAAATGACACATTGAAAAGAACTTGTACACTGCAGGATAAAATAAAAAATCCTCTACTTCAGATTAAAAATTCCTGCTTTTAGGGTTTGAATTTATCATCATAAGAAGCACTTTTAGAAAAGGAAGCAGCAGTCTCGGGTCTATTCAGGAACCAATATGGCCACTCAAAGTTTTTACAGGCTACGGTATCTCACAATCAGAAACTAAATGGACCACATTTTGCAATAAGGAACCACTATTTCTGGCTCATTTTAGAAACAACATATATGCCGTTGGTTTCCCTATGCAGAAAAGTGATTTTATAGAAGAGCCAGAGATAGTGGTTCCTTATTGCAGAATGTAACCCAAATAGCCTTATATGAACATATATAAACCAAAAGCATTTTCACCGAGTGACAATTATAGGCCTCATGAGTAGTTTGAGTCTCCTGGATGAAGTGAGGGTTATGCCATCGACAAAAAATGCGCTATACAGAGGTATGTAGTGTTGGGTCTAGGCTGCTATTTGTTTGACTTTCATGGTTTTCTTGCCTGCATAGAAAGCTGTGATAAGTGCAGGCAACGGGCAGTCATAAATATTGTTTTTTTGATGCAAATCCATCGTAAAGTCTTCGGTGAGACAGAAATTTTAAACTTCTTTCGATATTTGATGGTCACCCGACTGCGGCGCAGAAGAAAATGGACATTGTCTGGTTCAGGGCTCAGCGATCTTAAGTTCGTTGAATTTTGATCAATATGGTCTGAAAAACCCTGAAAAAATTTGGGGATTTTTTTTTTATTTTGAGCCTGTAGACAACATGATTATTGGAAAGTTACAGTCTTCAAGCAGGGTCATCTATGCTTAATGGAGTCCGACAAGAAGAACATACAAGAAATGTGTTGTGTCCCTGCAGCTTAAAAGAAATCAATACTTACTGGAGAAAATCTACAGATTAAATATCAAAAATGTTCTGGCTAAGATTAAAAGAATAAGTAATGATACAGCAAAATAACCCTTTACAAAGTTCTTACGTAATTAAACCAGAGGCTTTAAATACATCACGCATAAGTGATTTTAAGTACTTGATTTCCCGGGCAAGCTCAAGAGCCTGGCTTTGTAGCTGGTAATTTTTGTCTTGCAACTCTTTTTCTTCATGAAGAATTTCTTCGATTTCAGCTTTTTTTTTCAACCGGTATCGTGTGGCTGCATTTTTGTTTTGTTCTTTTTTGCGCAGCTTTTTGTCCTCAGGAGCAGGGCGGCTGTACGGCTTGGTAATACGTTTTTTCTTTTGTTGAGGGGCAGCAGGAATATTATAAGAATTAGGTACCCATTCTGGATCTTCCGAGCTAGAGCCGGAGCCTGAGTCAGATGAAAAACAAGGGCTCGAAGCACAGACTGAGTGATTTGAGTCAGAGCTGTCTTCTTCGTGGCTTTCTGTTGCAGAGCATTCCACATTGTTTTCCGCACTTGCAGGAGCTTTATAGTCATCGACGAGGTTTTCTGCATGCATGCGCACTAGCTCTTCCAACTCATTGCACAGCTCTGGTTCAATGCCATCCAGCATAGTTGTGAGTAAATAATCGTCATCTTTTGGGCTGTCAGGAGGGGTGAGAGCGTTTACTTTGGGAACCAGAGGTGGGGTCCAAACAGGGGTGGTGAATTCTTGGATAACTGACGGTTCTACCTCAAACTTCTGGATCCCCGCCTTGGTGTCCGGTGGCGGGCTGCAGACGTATGGTTTTAAGTCTCCAAGCAATTCCGGCAATGGCAAAGATATTAAATGCATTTGTGAGGGTTTTTCGGTGCTAGAGTAACTGTCATATAATTCAGGCTCAGGCGATGGAGTAAGATCTTCATAAATGGGTAGGTCAATTTGTTCCTCCAGCCAGTCAGGACAAGGTTCAGATTCTAAAACAAAAAATATTTTTCTTAGATTAGGGCAAATGTACAATTAAGCCTGGTTTCCAATGAACGCAAGGGCTTGCGTTAGCGGCAACGCGGCGATGTTGAACCTCTTTGTTACTACGGGACCGTTCCGAATGTAACGCGCTCGTAACGCGGTGCCGCTGAACAACGCAACGCTGACGCAGGAAGTTGAAAAATTCTCAACTTCTGCGTCAAGCGGCAGCGTTAATGGGTTGTTAGATGAACCTCGCGACCAGGACAAGGCAACTGTATTTTCGCTGAACGCATTTTGTTTATGACAGATACCTCCGCAACGGTTGATTTTAGGGGATAATATCATCGGACCTTTTTTATAGCATGTAAAATTTCCTATATTTTTATTACGAATATTTTGTCAAGAAAAAATTCGCGACACACATTAAGGGCTTTGAAAAGACGACCGCGGCCAAAATCAATAGCCCAGTGACCTTCTTTATCGTTATTCTATTAAACGGTTCATTTCAGAAGAAAATGTCAAAGGATATTGTATAAAGAGCGTAAAATTTCCTATTGGCTGATTACATAAAATGCGGGTTTCAAAAATTGCCGCGGCAAAAACTTTGCGGGGTCTGCGGCCTTTTTTCTCATTTATATTTCTTGAACGTTTCATTTTAGTGAAATGTATCATACTATTTTTAAAGCACGTAAAAATTTCCTTTCAGACAAGTCCAAAAAATAACTTTGAAACAATTCCGAGACCAAACAAAAACTAGTTTTAAAAAGTGCCACGGCTAAAAATTTTCGGAACAGCGACCTTTTCTCCTATTTTTTTATTAATCTATTCATTTTGGAGTAAAATTTCGCAGGATTTTTATAAAAGACCGTAAAATTTCCTGTCAGCCAATTACAGACGTATCCATAAGTAATTTCCGTGACCGCTAATACGGGCTTATAAAAATATTCACGGGAAACGGGCTTGCAAAGGCGCGGCACACAGATTTTTAGGTTATGTTGATGCTGCCATCTTGGAATGATACTGAACGCTGATTGGTTCAGCCTTGCGTTCGCCGCGGTCATCGGGAACGGATCAACGCGTCGCAGGTCGAAATGCTGGACGCGGCAGCTTGACGCAGGACTCCGCGTTGCAGCTGCCGCAAGCCATCGCGTTCATTGGAAACCAGGCTTTAAACTTCTTTTCTGTAAAAGGAACCTTGATTCTTAGTTTAAAGTTGATTGACTTCTTTGATGAATAAATTGAGCCTATAGTATGATTTACCGATCTCTGGTCTTTTAAAGACTACTTGGATTTTTGGGAAAAATATCATAGAGGTTGAGTTCAGTATTCCAAAACATTGCCCAGATACCAGTGTGAAGCAAATCCATGTATAGGTTACCGAGTTACTTTTTTTTGGCCACCAAGAACTTCAACCAGGCACCTTTTTAAAATGGTGATACACAGAACCCTCAACTTCGTGCCAATTTTTTTTCTTTTCAGCCCTCTCGAATGATGATATAGGTATCACAAAATAGGAGTTGCCATTTGAAAAAAAAGTTAGGGTCCGTGCCTCTCCATAATTTAAGGGGTCTGATACTTCCTTATAACTTGTAACGGATACTTCTCAGTTCAGAACTTAGTCTAATAGGACTAATATAACTACCGACTGAGGACGGGATTATTACCACTTATTGCTTGCCACTGAAGCCGAAAATGACCTGAATTTCAAACTATCACCACCCACCAATTTTTTGGACAATGGAATTTTCCAAGGGCACACGTTTCTTGGCATCTTCATGAGAGACTCTTCAGGAAATTCTATTTTCCGCAAAATTGGCGTGTAATGGAAGAAAACGAAGGTTAAATTAAAGTTCGGCTGTTTAGAAAGGAAGCAAGATAAAATTCATTCGATGCCTGGTAAAATAACTTCTCACTCCTCTCCGACGCAAAGCAAACGGATCACTTTTGCATGAGGGTGTATGCGCGGATTACGGGGGAGGGCCCCAAAAAAAAGAACCCAAAATTTTGCTGTAACTTGGCTCCGACGGAAAATATTCGGGTTACACCGCCAAGAGGTGTAACTAGGAGCTATAAAGAGTAACTAAGCTAAATAGCACATTTTCTTTCATTTCCGAGAAACTTGGTTTAAGGGGTTGTTCGATGAGTTCGTCGTTTTTGAAGATGGGTCCCATAGATAAAAAAAAGGAGGTGTTTGCATTTCGGGCATCTTGGAATATTTTGATGACTTGATGACGTAGGTGGGTACAGCTGGGTACAGAGACGTCCCCTTCACACTGTACCCACCTACGTCATCAAGTCATCAAAAAATTCCAAGATGCCCGAAATGCAAACACCTCCTTTTTTTTGTCTATGGATGGGTCCATTTCAGAAACACTTATCCCTCAAATTTGTCTCTCTTACTCGTTAAAAACACGGCTTTCTCTCTTAACCTTTTGAAAAGCTGCTTCTGAAGGACAAACCTCATCAAAAACTTCAGGGTATATACGGTTCTTCAGTTTAAAAATGGTGCTGCACCACACGAAACGAAACCCCTGTACGGCTCTAAACCGCCATCGGCTAAAACCGATGAAAATATGAAAAAAAGTCGCATATTTGTGAATGAGGATGGTTAAAGATCAAGTAATTAACTAGCAGATATCGTTTTAATGTAATACAGAAATATTCAAAACATTGCTGAGAAAAATTTGGGCCTAAATCGCGTTGTTGCCGAATTGATCCCCCATTTAGCATTCTAGCCGAAGACGGCTGCTTGGTGTCCAGCCGACGTCCAAACCATAAACCACACTTTCAAACTATGAAAAACATTTGTTCACTAATATCATAGGTAAAGTATGTTCCCAGCAAGATTAGCTCCAAAAATTGTTAGAGTTAGCCGCAAATTGCCTGTGAAAATTAATCGTCTCCGCGGAGAAATAACGCTTCCTTTTAAGGGGTCCTCAAAAACATGTTGGAACCGACCGCCGTGAATCTTCGAATCTACGCGCCAAAGACGAGAAGATGGCGGCGACGAAGCCAACCTGCTTCCCACCGTCACGCTGCCGTTGTTGACATCAAGATTTCTCGTTTGAGATTAAGTAAGTTCTGTGTGAATGTTTCGTATCCTATATAAATCTGTATCGCATTCTGATTGAAAAGCTTAGAGATTCAAGAACAATGGGTATGAATCTAAAACAAAGTAACCTACACAACCTCCACTTGACCAACAAAAACGCACCGCCAACGCGACGCTGCCGTGTATTCTTCCACTGCGCATTCCGCCGCCATATTGATCGTGACGTGTACATTCGAAACCTACGAGCGCGCGGTTGTAACGCCGTCTTAGGCCACCCTCATTTTTGGCACTTTCAAATAAACTTGTCTCCCGTTGGCAGCCATAAAACAAAATTAGGAAAAAAACTGTAAGCTTCGGTCACTTACCAATTCGAATGACACGATTTAAAAAAATGACTTAACTGACTCATTACACTGAAAGGCACATTTGAGGCCTTGTAAAAGTAATTTTACGACTTTTCTTCAGCTTGCAGATTGTAAAGGGACATGTTCAAAGTTAAATTTTCCATTATTATGAACTTCAAGTTTCTGCTGTCAGGGTATATTTCTACCCTCGAATTTTTTTAGTGATTAGAGCAGCAATAAAGTGAAACATTCATGAGCAAAAATCTTTTTTTAGTTCTTATTTATTCCCTATTCTCATTTTAGCAGGAGCTAGAATCCCTCTTTATCCACTCTATTGCTAAAAATAAAAACATTTCCAGAGTAAAAAAGTTTACCCTCGACCGAGAATCGAAACCTGAACATTCAGTAAAGGAGGATGTTATTTTGATTGTTCATTAAATACGTTTTCATACATGAAAGTCCCAGCAATTTCATTCTAACACTGATTTTGAACCAAAACTATCAAAAGTCAAATATCTAGAATGATTCATATTAATTTGTTTGAGGAAAATACAATGGAGGAGCATTCCGGAAAACGGGCACATACGCGTATGTGCCCGGAAATGGCAGAAATGGATTCATTCTATCCTAATGTACTAATGTCCCGAGTTTCAGCTTAATTAATCAATTTTTGGAACTAAGAGCCCAAGTTTTGTGAGGCTAAGTCAGGGGTCAGAGGCGTATTTCATCTATTTGCCTCGGGGTACGGTCGCCGCGACGTTGAGAAGATAGCGCGCAGGCAGGCAGGCAGGCAAGTGATGGGTACTGATAAGGATCCCTCACTACAGATGGATCGCACTGATTCTGCCAAACAATGCAATAGCATCGGGTCGCAGGGATTGTCTCCGCGTTGCACCGGTCACACGTGAATTTTTGTAATTGTTAATAATTCAATTTTCAATGGTCTCTTGTGAATTTGAATTTTTCGATTTTTTCGCGTGTTTCGCTGTCTTTTTCATTAGTAATGATCGAAGCTGATCCACGCACGCGTTCGCGATCAAAATTATTATTTATTAATCAAACAGAATTATTCAATTTTGTTTAAAAACTCGTTAAAGTCTCGAAATTTCAGCTTCAAAAGCCGAAACCTATGACCACAGGTCTATTTCCGGAAAAAGGGCATCATAACGGAAAATTTTAAAAAATTCCTCCCATACTTAACACTGAAGGAAGTGTAAGTTTTATGGATGGTCGTTATTAATTCTAGAGTATATGAACGTTGATATGAGTGCCCCGGTTCTGATGTATGTCATCATCAGGGGCCAGAAAGTAAGAATGAAAACTTCAAATGCGTTTTCCTCACAACGCGTTTTTTCGGTATGTGCCCTTTTCTCGGAAAGCTCCTCAATTACTACTGGGTACCCACCTCAACTACCAACTTCAGCAACCCTAATCACCTCCCCCCCCCCTTTTTTTTTCTTAAGATTTGTTTGCCTGATCCTCCAGTTGAGCCTACAGCCATCTACAGATTAAACTTCCGAGTAGGTTATGGTTTGGATGAGTGTTAGGGTAGGTGGTATCAGGGATGGAGAGTAGGTATATTCCGGGATAGTTCTAAAGGGCGACCAGCAAT